TCTGAGAGAGGCCGATGTCGATATGAGACGGGTAATTCATTGCTGAACGACTCTTGCCGGCTTGGCCTCCCGAATCGGCAGTGTGGCTGATCGTACGCTGATCATGTTGAGTCCGGAACGATTGCTTTGGTCTGGCCTTCATGGAATCGCACTTGCAATGATCGCTCGCCATGCAGGTCTGCTCCAGGCACTTCCTGCCATACACGACACCCAAATCAGCTGACTGTGCCCTACGAGAGGGTCACTCGCTCCTGAAGCCACGAGAGCAATCTCGCAGTGCTCTCGTGGCTTGACACGCTGCTGTGCTCTGGGGCACCGACTTGCCGCTGCTCGGGCCCAGCTTGCCTTGCGCCATGGGGGCTTGGGACCTCGCAGTGCCGCATGGCTTGCACCGGGTCCGCTTGGGCCGACATGTTGCCTGTCATAGCCTCCGGATCTTGCCTTGGAGTACACCCTGGAGAGGGTTCGCCAGCACGACAGATCCTACATTCGTTCATCTTCGCTCCTGCTTCTTTGAAGGCTTCCGTGTTTGCACGTCCGTCGTGGCCCGAGCCGTTGACGACTCGGGCTCCTCACCCGGCCGGACTCGACCCCCCGGCCTCCTGCTCGACACGCAGGCAGGCCCTTTTGCTGCGAAAATCGTCACCGCCAGGCCTATTTCCATCGAACTTTCACTGGCACCTGCGCACTTCTGAATGTTGACCGTGCGGCTTTGGCAGAGCGCGACAAACAATACAAAACATCAGAACTGGGCGTTGGGATATCTTGTTCTGCTGAAAGCGGGTGGAACTTCGCTGCTAAACGAGTGGAGTGCATGATGCAGGCATACAGACATAGCCGACATAGCTTGTTCTGAATTTGCCGACCTGTCATATCAAACCTTACTTCGCGACTCGCTCAGCCATGTAGGAGGCTAAAAAAACATCAGCACATCCTTTGCTGCATGACGTAACAAGCCGTCCAGATTCGGCTCGCCGGACAGATACTATAGGGATGCATTTTTTGACGTTTCGCCCGCGTCTCGCGCCTTGTTGCCAGGCAGGACCTTGTGTTGACCGTGCGCCCACGCATGTGGCCAGTGACTTGACGATCTCCGGCCCGCGTTCGGTGTCTTCCAACTCCGCTGGTTGTGTCTTCCTTGCTGCTCGGGCCGCACACCTGCCGCTGCTGCCGCAACCCGCATCTCGGAAACCACCGTGTAGTCTGCGCCATGCGACTGTGGCACTGCTTTTGGAGCGTATGGAACATTTGTATGCCGCAATGTCCCCAACGCAGGGGGATTGCACGGTATACATGGACCGGGACTCTCATTGATTGTTGCAAGATGGCGTAGGAGAGACCGCATCCATGCACCGTCGAGGATCGTCGAGGAGGACGGGGCCGTGCTGAAGGTCGCAAAGCGACGCAAACACTGCACGTAGCCTGAACTCGCGAGGAGCGGCCCACAGAAGCTCTTGGTCCTAAGATCCGACAAAGTAGGCCTCCGGAACTCTGCAGCGCAGTGTTTTGTCGACGACTTGGTCCGGCTCCGAGCTTTCCGTTCGCCGCGGAGCGGAGGCCCAGCGCCGGACCGTGTGCCCGACCTCGCCGCGCGGATGATGGGCCCAGTGGCCTGCCGCGTGGAGATGGGGAGGTGGTAGTAGGACCTGCGTAGCAGTGGCCCCTTCTAGCAGCGCAAGAAGTCTAGGTCGCAACGAGTTGCCATTTCAAAACAACCACGAAAAGCATTGCGACTAGGAAGACCACACAATCCGGTCATGATTTTACATATCGCGCATGATCTAAGCATCTACGTTTACAGTTCGTCAGTGCTTGGCACCGTTGTTGGGTTGGTTGGCTCGAGGATGAAAAGCGGGATTGCAAAGCCAAGCGAAGGGTGAACATGTCGTCCAAGGCCGAGGCGAAGCGGTTGCTCTTTGTGTTTGAGATGTTTGAACATGCCGGCATGATTTGTACGGACATCCGTGTCAGGCACAAACGAGACATCATAGCTCAAATATCGCAATAGCGAGCACAGCGAACCGCAAACAAAAAAAAACGCACATCACTGTTCTTGAGAAGTCACTGGTAGCTCATCAGCGCCTACCAATGCTGTCATTAACACGACAGCACAGGTAGAACGTAGCGCGCCCGAAGCTGCCGAAAACAACCTTTGCAAGGTATTTCCATGATGTTCCATCAATAACATCTCGTAAGGGAATCAGTCTGCAGCCAGGAATCCATCGACGAGTCCATCCATGCTTTTCAAGCCGGGCAATTCGTGATTGTTGCGGACAGAGCTGACCGCAGGAATGAATGCGATTTGGTTTTTTCGGCGGATCAAGCAACAACTGGGGCGATGGCTTTTGCCATCCGAAGAGGATCAGGAATTGTTTACGTTGTTTCCAACAAGGAGGCCTTGCAGCATTTTGGTTTATATCCCGCAACAACAGTCAACAACGATCGGTTCTCCATCGGTGCATATGTGTCGACGACATTCGTGCCTGGGTCCTCCACCGGCTTATCGGCAGCAGACCGGGCTGCCACAGCACGGGCGCTTTGCAACCGTTCCAACACTCCGGATGTGTTTTCTAAACCGGGTCACATGTTTCCGGTTGCATCACATGCGGACGGGGTGTTGGGGCGTCCTGGCCACACGGAGGCAGCATACGACCTTTGTCGGCTTGCCGGTCGAATGCCGGTCGCTTGTCTTACCGAACTGACGAATGAGGATGGGACGATGTTGCGATGGCAAGGAGCCGTGGAATTCGGTCAGAAGCATGGCATTCCTGTTATTACGGTTGATCAGATCATGCGCCGAAGGCAGATGTCGCCGGAGTTTCCAAATGCGCCAAATCCAGACAGTATCCCCAGCATTCGTGGGTTGGATTTGCCAGCTTTTGACGGATCCGGCCTGCGGATAGCAATCGTGGCGGCCCGATGGAACTCGGTTGTTACCCGTAGCCTTGTGATGGGTGCCAAAGAGGCCCTTGAGTCTTGCAATGTGCGTGACGTTTCTATTGAATATGTGGCGGGATCCTACGAGATACCGGCCGCTGCGCAAGTATTGCTTGAGTCTCGCAAGTTTGATGGAATTATTTGCATTGGTTGTCTCATCAAGGGGCAGTCGATGCACTTTGAGTACGTCAGCGAAGCCGTTACGCAGGGCATTATGCGTTTGAACATTGACTACAAGGCGCGAGTTTTTGCTGGAGACGCTGTTGCGATTTTGTCGGTCTGATTTATGCGTCGTTTTGTCGATGCGCAGGTGCCTGTCGTTTACGGCATTCTGTCCGTGTTATCCGAAGAGCAAGCCAGACAAAGATCCGGAATATCGGGTTCTCACAACAGTGGCCGGGAGTGTCTTGATTTGCAAACGTTGACCAAAGCCCACCCCGGGTCGAATAAGACTGAACTTGCAAGTGGTGCCCAGCCAAGGTGGGGTGTCACGTGTGTGGAATCGTGTCTCTTGCGAAAGCGCTACCTGAAGGCTGGTCGACGGCTCAGAACGGCATCGTCAGTACTGGTCGCGTTTCCGAGGTCTCACGATTATGATGAGACGGAGACGCTTATCCCGCTTTTATCTGTGGCTGAGCAGGCTGAGCAAAGCGCTTGACCATAGCGACATGACAATTTCAAGATTGAAATATTCTTGCTGCATGCCGGGGCTGGCACAATCTCAGCAGAGGGTGTTGTGTTCGGTGCTTCCGAACGAAAAATGCAACATGGCCACAACTTACATACTCACGCGATCTCACGCGTGCTTGTCCGCCTGCCTCACCTATGTGCTCTGGCTCGAACGCTGTCTTCGGAGCCTGCAAAACGGCTTCTCCTAAGTGCGGGGCCCAGTCTCAGACGCCTCCGGACCATCAGCGAAAAGCAGTCCAATTCATGATTGAATTCGAGGTGACATCACGTGATCTTCGTTTGTGATTCGTGGAAAAGTGGGGGCTTGCAAAGACAGTTCATGAATGTACCATTCGATTCGTCAACGAAAGGGCCCTCAAGCTGCCAGCTCGGGCAAGTGGGCAATCACTTATTGATGGCAGCACATGGCAGCTGCAATGATTCCCGATTAATTTATATATATATATATATACAGACTTGAATGAGAGGAATTCTTATAGAACCAGATGAAGGTTGAAGCAACACCCTTAGGCTTGGCGAGGCGGGCCCTGGCTTGCAATCTGTCGACGAAGCTCAGTTCCAGACAACGCTTTGCTGATGTATGTTTTCATTGGGTGGAACCGAAAGCTCAACAAACCTGTGTCATGTCATTGTGCAGCTTTGCAACACTTCCCTGCTGATGCAAGTTATGTAAGCCATTGAACAGCCACCCACGCAAAGTGTTGAGCATGCTCGTAGCTTTGCCACATCATTGCGAATCACATCAGGTCAGGCCCCCAATGAACGACATATGCCACTCGAAGGCCAGGGTGACTGTTTGGTAAGGGGCCCGTGCAAGCCGATGTTATTTGGTCAAAGGCAGCGGTGTTCGGCAAGAAGCGCCTGGAACCCGGCCACTCCAGGAATGCCAGAATGTCATTGCCTGGACAAGTTTCCCTCGTTTAGCCGTTGGCCAGCCGCCACTGAACCTGCATCTCCAAACCCAGATATGAATACCACCACCAGTCACGGAAACGGAGCTGCACATGCTGAGCAGTGGTGCGCTGCAGAATCGCCACAGCATGAGTATCGCAGCCTTCCTTGCCAGGACCTGGAGTATGGCAGTGCTGTCCTGAGAAAGCCGAAGAAGAAGACAGGATGGGTTCGTCACAGATGCAATGCGAAGTTGAACAACCGATGTCTGCTTGCAGTGTTTGGGGCAGTCGCCTGTGTTGCCTTGCTGGCAGTTTCCATTTTCCGATACCTTTGCGCCTGCTTTGCCGACACTTGGTGGCAGCATGCACATGTGGCCCGGTAGGAGCATGTCATTTGTTACGAGTCCATGCAGTTCGTCAAATCAGGTAGTTTCTCATTTCTCTTTCATTGAAACTTGGATCGCGCATTGAGCAGAATGCCGCACATTTTGGTGAGCATGCCTTCTTGGGCTTTCGTGTTGTGTAGAACAACTTGTCGTAAAACCGTCTGTTGAGGTGCTGACAGCGTGGGTCAGCTGCAGCTTCGCGCGTTGGGAAGAAATGGACGAGCCCCTGCAAGAGCCGATCCAGCTTCGTACCATGCCCGCAGACAGACTCCTCGAGGCGATGTGGTCAACTCCCGTTCACGGGCCTCGTTTATGTTTCCTGCGCTGAGGACAGAATGTTGCCGCTGTTGCTGTTGCCGTCGACAGATTTGTGGCAGCTGTTTCTGTTGCTGTAGCTTGCTGCCCCTGCTGCTGCTTTCCCTTTTTTGTTTCGTCTTTGGCTGTCACCATCTACAGTTTCATCTTAGCTTCATTGTCGTCATCTTCACCTTTACCATCTTTACAACGGCTGCATTTCCTGTGCTTTATCTGCTTCACTTTCGCCATGTTCATCTTCGCCATGTTCATCGCCAGTGTCACTTTGTGGTGGTACTGTAATGCATTTGAGCCCGCATCCTTTTCCTCTTCTTGTACTGTTGGCGACGCCAGGTATTGTGGCGGGCACGCACTCCGAACAGGCCGACTGCTGGAATCCAGCCACATTCCTTGGTGTACACAGGCTGGCTTTTTTTTGGTGAGTGGCTTGCATCGGCACGTTTCCCGGAAGCTTGCTTTGCCTGAATGGAGTAAGGCCGGGTACGGCCAGAGCTTCTGGATTTTGCGAGATGAGGCCAAACAGTATGAATGTCAGAAGGGACAGCTTCTAGTTTGTGTGACAGCCGAATAGCTGTCAGGGCATCTAGTCTTGCGAGCAACCGCTTCCGAAGCTTCGTGGCATTGATGCTTGGTTGCACGTTTCAAGCTTGTGTCAGCATGATTCGGCCAGCGCAGTGCCGGTGGGGAAGCATGCCGCTAGGATGCTGGGCCCCGTGGTGGTCATTGAAACCGTCTTGCATTGGTTCCAGGGGACGCATTTCCCCCTCACAGCTTCACAGAGCTTCTTTGTCGTACCGTCCCTAGCTCTGCTCGGCGAATTCCGCGCAAGCATGTCGGGAGCTGCGAGCAAGATGAACAAGTGATCAAGGTGAGCACCGGACGGGAAATGGAGAGGAAAGTTCCAGTGGTGGATGTGGCATCGATACTCATCTTGACGGTGCCTTCGCCAGCAACCAAAGTGTGCACGGGACTTCCGAAGGCCGTTTGGTTTGTGGTCACTTGCATGTCATTGAGCACTCGCTGGACATGTTCTGTAAGTTCTGAATGAATGCTTGATGTTCGATCTTTGCGGAAGCTTAAAGCCTGACGAACTTCAGCAGATTGCATGTGTATGTTGCAATGGTCCGGGTGCTCCTGTGCTCTATTTTTCTTGCTTAGGGGGCAATTCTTGGAGAGACCCGACAACTGCATCTTATGCTCGTGCTGATGCAGGCATTACTCGAACTTGAAGCTTACGCAGGTTTCAATAGTATATGGCAATATGCAATTGCATGGGACGAAGTATGGGTGGATGACAGCGATTCGTCCATTGTTCTCGACGCAGCCCACCTGTGTTAACCAACGCCAGCAACACAATCAGGACTGAGGGTTCAGTTCGAAGCTTTCCAAAAGCGAAATATGGTTGCAACACCTTCAGCCTTAAGCCTTAAGCAGCGCTTCTCGGCTTGCGCCGACTGGGGCCAGTGACTGCATGTTTCCAACCGGAATGTGCCTTTGAGTGCACAGCCAGAATTTCTGAGACAGCAGCTGATCCAGTCCTTCGCTCTCACTCTGCAGACGGAAAATGCAGAACTGATTCTCCCCAGCTTGGCCAGTCCGAATCGGCGGGGATCTATCACGTGCCTATCAACTGGGAGAACCCTATTGGCGGAGGGAGTCCGCAGAGTCTTTGGCAGAAGGAGGAGCTACAGGCTTGGGAACTGAGAACTCTTCGTGTGCCAAGCCTCGTTGATTCAGGCCTGTCAATAGTCGCTTCGTCCGTTGCAGTCTCAGGCACGCCTGCCTTTCTGTTGCTCCGTCGCAGTACTGCTGCGATCGTCCCTCTCGTGGCTTTACTGTAGGTTGCTCGGATCCTTCAGGGGTTGAGCTTAGAATGCTCTTGATCATAATCCCGCGCCGTGTGCAACAACTGGCGAATGTCGTACCTGCTAAGGCCCAAGATTCACTTCGGCAGGGGAGTCCAGTTGACTACATTTCGTTTTGTAAAATTGCCCCTTGCCCTGGACCCAGAACAGAAAAGTGCTAGGTTTGACAGAGGTTTCCGCGCGAGTTCGGAATTCGAAGGATGCGATTTGGCTGCCGGCGTGTCCCAAGTTCCCGGTCTGGTTGGCTGAGTGGACTGATGTAGCAGCCTTGGAAGGACTTAGACTTAGCTTCGTGTGCTGGTGCACCTAGGCAATGGCAATTTTCTTCTTTTATTGTGGTATGTGGAACATTGCTCTCGCCTTATGGTGTTCACGGTGCTCATGTGCATCTCCGTCACATGCCAATGGAGTTTGACATTCTCTCGTGCTTGAGGCTCTCCTCTACATGAGGGTACATGATTTGGAATCTGAGAGGGCGTTGGTTCAATGTTGTATCCAGCTACTTGTGTGCTCCGGCCGCAGAACTTGCAGCACAGCTTTTTCAGTGTTTCATTGGATCGGGCTGCTGGAGCAGATGGGTGCGTGTTTGCACTTGGTGAGGTGTTGTCTCAGCATGCTCAGCAAGCTCAAGCCATCGCTGATGTTTGTCGTCGTGGCCTCTACCAGACTCTACCAGCTCTCATGGTCTGCATCGTGTATCGCGTGCATGGTCGAGCATGACTTGACAGGTCATCTACTTGCTCTACAGTTGCATACTCACCTATGTGGATCCACTCTTTCTTGCTTTCATTCCGACAGTGCAGCTCCCAGAGCCTTATGTGTGATTAGGTGTGTGTGTGTGTAAACGACGACAGATTGAGGCACCATACAGAATCACAGAAGTACAGTTGTGATTGTGGAAACAAAAGCTTCTTTTCCATGGTGATGACTTGAAGAATGAACTTTCGGATTGGCAGCAGTGGGGTTATCATTATCCGCTATCGCGGGTTTTGGCTTCGCCCACTGTGATCTGGCCCCATGTCGGAATTTCCAGCACAATACACACTTCGGATCGGCACGAATGACTGCGGTGAGCAACCGTACGCGTGTGCGTGTGTGTACACACCTGTACATGGCGACCATCGAATGAGACCGTAAGAAATACCGCAGGGGAGTACGGCCCTCTGCTGCTGCCGTGCCCAACGGAGCTGTGCATCATAGAGGGAAGCCAAGCCTGATCAGCTTGGTGTACCTGCTAAAAGGCGAGCCCAAACTACCCGCAGGTAGTTTCGTTTTGAGTGCGATTCTGATGAACTTCATCGCTTTCATCCTGAGACTGGCGGATGAGTGAACCGCGTGGTGAATCGACTGAGTGCGCAGGGCCCGAGCTTGCTCACTGGTACGACTCCCGAATTCGGGAGCATGCCTTGGCCTCGTGTTGCCGACCCCTGGCGCCAGGAACTCCTTATCCTCCTGGCGCTGGTGGCCAGTTTCGACCTTGCAAGCCCCGTACGGCAGCAGGCGCGACCACCACAGGGATGAGGATTCGCACTGAGGAGCTGCGGTGCCGACTCCAGACGCACTGTAGGACTGGGGCCAAGCCTTCGAAAGACGTATACCGCCAGGAGCCCTGACAGGCGCCGCAGGGCCCAAAGCACACAAAGCAGAGAGCACAGTCGGCGGTCGAGGCGCCGGTCCTCCCGACGCAGCACTTCTCCTGCACATAGGGGAAGAAAAACAGCAGCAAGCCAGAGCTGCGCGCTCAAGATCAAGAGGGATAGCAAGCCGCGGCGTGGTCGCCGCCACCAAGACCGGAGCAGACGCACCAGCGTCTCGCGGATCCCCAGTGACAAGCGCAGCCGAAGACCTGTGCGACCGCCTGGTCAAGTTTCCCAGCCTGTCGTTGCACCGCCTGGGTTTGCTTTTGGTAGGGGTTCTAGGCTTGCGCCTCCTCCGCCCGGCAATTCTGGGGCTTTTGCCTAAAGCTCGCGGCGATCGTCGGCAAAACGATCCAGGTACCGGCCCCGATACCGTCGGTAAGGGGGTTATCTGTGTCTTTTTTTTTTTTGCGTTATCTGTGTCTTTTTTTTGGGTTATCTGTGTCTTTTTATTTCTGTTTTTTGTCTCAAGTCCCAAGGAATGGCTGCCCGTACCCAAATTGGTGGGTAATCTGTGTCTTTTTTCGCGTCATCTGTGTCTTTTTTTTTGCGTTATCTGTGTCTTTTTTTTGGGGTTTCGCTTTCAAGCTGATTAACTGATCCATGTCTGTCGAGTACTACGCTCTTCCTTGTGGCCGGGCCTTCGAAATGCTCTTTTGGCGTACAAACGCAGTATGCGGAACGCTCTTCGTGTGGCCGGGCCTTGAAAATGCTCTTTTGGAGTGCCAACTCAGTATGCGGAATGCTCTTCCAATGGCCGGGCCTTGAAAGTACTCTTTTGCTTTTGGGAGTACAGACTCAGTACGCGGAATGCTCTTCGTAGTGGCCGGGCCTTTGAAATGCTCTTTTGGATTACACACTCAGTACGCGGAAGGCTCTTCCAGTGGCCGTGCTCTTTGAGTGCAAGGTCAGTACGCGGAACGCCCTTCCGGTGGCCGGGCCTTGAAAGTGCTTTTTTGGAGTACAAACTCAGTACGCGAACGCTTTTCCAGTCGCCGGGAAGTTAAAACGCTGTCAGTACGCGGAACGCTCTTCCAGTGGCTGGGCCTTGAAAGCTTACTTTTGGAGTACAAACTCTGTACGCGGAACGCTCTTCCGGTGGCCACTTTTGGGGTACAAACTCAGTCGGGAGCGTGTTTAAGGTCTATGATAGCCGGAATCGCCAAATGAGGGGCCTGTTTAAGATATATGAGGAACCGGAATCGCCCAATCGGCGGGCGTGTTTAGGATATATGATGAATCCCGCTGGTCTGGCGTGTTTAAGGCCTATGATAGCCGGAATCGCCACATGAGGGGCGTGTTTAAATATAATATATGATAAACCGGAATCGTCCAATGGGGCGGCGTGTTTGAGGTCTATGATAGCCGCAAACGCCAAATGACGGGCGTGTTTAAGAATATTTGATGGACCGGCATCGCCCAATCGGGGGGCGTGTTTAAGGTCTATGACAGCCGGAATCGCCAAATGAGGGGCGTGTTTAAATATATATTATAAGCCGGAATCGTCCAATGGGGGGGGGTGTTTAAGATATATGATGAACCCCACGTGGTCTGGCGTGTTCAAGGTTTATGATAGCCGGAATCGCCAAATGAGGGGCGTGGTTAAAAATATATGATGAGCCGGCATCGCCCAATTGGGGGGCGTGTTTAAGGTCTATGATATCCGGAATCGCCAAATGAGGGGCGTGTGTAAGAATATATGATGAACCGGCATCGCCCAATTGGGGGGCGTGTTTAAGGTCTAAGATAGCCGGAATCGCCAAATGAGGGGCGTGTTTAAATAGATTTGATAAGCCGGAATTGCCCAATGAGGTGATGTGTTTAGGATATATGATGAACCCCACTGGTCTGGCGTGTTGAAGGTCTATGATAGCCGGAATCGAATGAGGGGCGTGATTGAAAATATATGATGAACCGGCATCGCCCAATCGGGGGGCGTGTTTGAGGTCTATGAGAGCCGGAGTCGCCAAATGAGGGGCGTGTCCAAATATATATGACAAACCGGAATCGTCCAATGGTGGGTGTTTAAGATATATGATATACCCCACTTGTCTGGCGTGTTTAGGTCTATGACAGCCGGAGTCGCCAAATGAGGGGCGTGTTTAAATATATTTGATAAACCGGAATCGCCCAATGCCGTGATGTGAATCGCCGAATGAGCGGCGTGTTTAAATGTATAACATTTGGCATGTTTGAAATTAAATATGCATGAAGAACCGGAATCGCCCAATCGGGTGGCGTGTTTAAGGTATGTGATCGGAA